CTCAAGGCATTTTGCTGGTTGATTTTCTGGAGGGCCAAAGAATGGTAACATCTGTTTACTATCAGAGTGTTTTGAGAAAGTTAGTCAAAGTTACAGTAGAAAGATGCCCAAGAGAGCTTCACCAGAGTCCTTCTCCACCACAACAATGTTCCTGCTCATTCCTCTCATCAAGGGCAATTTTGTGAGTTTCCATAAAAAATCATTAGGCATACACCTTGCAATCCTTATTTGGCTCCTTCAGAATTATTTGTTGGCAATCTTAAAAAAATATTTAAAAAGCATCCATTTTTCTTCAGCTAATAATGTAAAAAAGACTGCATTGGCATGGTTAAATTCCCAGCACCCTCAGTTCTTTAAGGATGAACTAAATGGCTGGTATCATCCCTAATAAAAGTCTTCAACTTGATGGAGCTTATGTTGAGAAGCAAAATAAAGTTTATAGTTTTATCTCACATAAAAAGTTGTTAATGTTTACAAATGTCTTTGGCTACAGTTAGTGGAACCAAACCTGAATAGGGTTAGTGCAAGTATGTGTTTTTCAATGACTCTCTTTGCAAGCTATCCTACTGGGCTTTATTTTCTAAGTCATTTCATTTTCTTTCCTTTTTTTTTTTTTTTTTTTTTTTTGAGACGGAGTCTCCTTCTGTCGCCCAGGCTGGAGTGCAGTGGTGCAATCTCGGCTCACTGCAAGCTCCACCTCCCAGGTTCATGCCATTCTCCTGCCTCAGCCTCCCAAGCAGCTGGGACTACCGGTGCCTGCCCCCATGCCCGGCTAATTTTTTGTACTTTTAGTAGAAAAGGGGTTTCACCGTGTTAGCCAGGATGGTCTGGATCTCCTGACCTCATGATCCTCCCGCCTCGGCCTCCCAAAGTGCTGGGATTACAGGCATGAGCCACCACGCCCAGCTCATTTTAAGAAAAATAAAAGTTGAAAGTAACCTCTTACAGCAGATTTCACCTTTTAGAGAATGTAAGAATCAACAAGTTTGCTGAAAATGTATATTCCCAAACCTCAACACAATAATTTGATTTCAGCAGATCTGGAGTAGAGTGCAAGGATCTACACTTAATAACAATGCACTAAAGCCCAACTTCCTCCTGAGAATTCCACTAAAAGCTGCTCTTCAGCAATATCCTATGGCAGGCCAATCAGCTAAATGACTACATCACAATCTCTGGCCTCCCTGCACCTGAAAATAAGTGACCACGTGCTTGGCCCCCTACACACACAGTATGGATTTGTTGCTGGGAAGTGGCTGTCCACTCAGGGATTACAATACCCAGCCCACCATACATCTAGGTATCGGCATGGAAGAGGTTCACACCAATAGAATGTGAGCAAAAGTGGTGTGTATCATATATAAGCCAAGGTTTTTAGGAAGAAGCTGTACCTTCTCTAAGCTGTCTATCCCTTTTGTCTCACTGGTTAGATGCAAATAACAATAAAACCCGAAGAAATTACAAAGTCCCCAAACAGAAGGGAAACAAATCTCTGAATTATTTCACAGAAAACGCCCTACCAACTATGAACATTTGCTTCAGAGTGTTAAATGAATAAAAATGAAATTCTATTAGGTAAAGTCACTAAATTTGGGGGTTTCTTATAAGCATCATCCTAATATATCAGGCATGTGTGTATATAAACAACTGTTTAACTGCATATACATGTATATATTCATTTAATCAACAAAATGTATTGAAAATCCATTATATGCTCAAGATATAATCATGAGCAAAAACATATGCAATCCTTATCCTCATGAATCTCAGAATTATTGAAGCATGTGTGTATAAATGTAGGTTTTTCTATGTGGAGTACTTGAACGGGGTAGGGTAGACAATGAAATAATATAAATGAGTAAGTAGAACTTTCACTTCCAATTAAGATAGAGGAACAGGGATTAGATTTACCACCTGTCTGACACAATTAAAACTCTGAAAAAATATACGGAACAACAATGTGAAGCATTTGTTATTAGGCAATAAAAGACAGTGATCCCCCAGAAATGAAAAATAAAAGGTGTACCCCAGATTTGCCCCAGCTTATTATCTAAAGAGATGAAATAGTTATTAGAAACAAAACATTTATTAAATTGTATCCCAACATATTAAGCAGAGCAAGCAAAGTATAAAAAAGATCCAAATCAAACTTTGAGATGAAAACTACAATGTCTAGTTTAACAATATACTATATGAGATTAACAGATTAGATATTTCAGAAGAAAAGAGTAGTGACTTTGAACACATAGCAATAGAAACTATCCACAATGTAACAGAGAAAGGAAAAAAGGATTTTAAAATGAAAGACTATAACACCAGTGAGATAAGTTTAAGCCATCTAATGTACACATAATAGGAATCCAGAGGAAAGAAGAGACAGAGGAAGAATGGAAAACTTTTTGAAGATATAAAGGTCAAAACTTCCCAAATTTTATGAAAACTAACAACCTACAGCTTCAAGCAGCTCAACAAATCCCAAGCATAAGAAAGCTGAAGAAAACTACACCAAAGCAAATCATAATCACATTGCTTATGCCAGTGAAAGAGGACTCTCATAAGCAGCCAGAGAGAAAAGACCTAACACGCAGAGGAACAAAGGTAAGGGCAATAGCAGACTTCTTGTGAGAAACAATGTACATGCTTGAAGACACTGAAGAAACATCTTTACAGTACTGAAAGAAAAAAAAAAAAGATCAATCTTAAATTCTTTACTCAGTGAAAATATCTTTCAAAACACAGACATACGAAAGCTAAAAGAATTTATCACCATCAAACATGCACAACAAAAATGTAAAAGGATGTCCCTTAAGCCAAAGGAAAAATGATACCAGTTGGAAATCTGGATCCACATGAAGAAATAAATACCAAAGGAATGAACACACAGATGCCCATGTAGCTAACATTTCTGGTGTTTATCTATGTAAAGAAATATAATGATTCTTTGTTATTATTTAAATCTCTTTAAAAGATAACACTGTTTAATGTAAAAAAACAGTGTCTTGTGGGTTTAAACACGCAAAGAAGTAAAACATACAACAACTATTGCACAAAAACTGGGAAGGGAAAATAAAAGTATACTTTTGTAAGGTCTGTACACCAGATATAAAGTAATACATCGCCGGAAGGTAGACAAGTGATAAGTTAAATATGTCTACTATAAACCCTAAAACAATCACTGAACTAACACAACAAAGATAAAAGCCACAGGAAGATGAAATTGTTTTAAAAGTATAGAATTAACTCAAAAGAAAGGATTCAAAAAGGAAAAAGGAACAAATGAGACAAATGGAAAACAAACAGTAAGATGGTAAATTTAAACCAAACTGTATCATTATCCATTAAATGTAAATAGTCTAAACACCAATTAAAAGACAGAGATAATTACAAAGGATCAAAAGAACAAGACCTAACTATACACTATCTATAAGAAACTGGTATTAAATATGAAGACACAAACAGTTAACCAAGTAAGTAAAAAGTATAGAAAATGGCCTCTCAAGATAACAGGACTAAAGAAAATGGCTGTTGACATAGTTTTGATTCACAAGTTGTCACAATTCAGGAAGTATTTTTATATTCAAGAATCCTTTTCAAGCCTTGAGATCTAAGTAAATATTAATACTATCTTACACTCTTCATAAAAGTCACCACATATATGTGTTCACACATCAACATTTCACTTATCTCAACAGTATCTCTAAATATAGCAAATTAGAGATTTCAAAAGAAATTCTCAAGTGAGCTAAGAGATTAGCAATCTGTTCTGATCAATAACCACATGTTCTCAAAGATGGATATATATACATTCAAAATTTTACCTCTATATAATGTGTGATTTTACTAAAATAGTCTATTAAGACAACAAAGTCTGAGCCAGATGACAGAAACAAAATGCAACCACATCTCACCACATCCTTTTCCTTTGGGAAGGAACTGGGGATTAAAAAAATGAATATACTATGCTCATGAGAGACAAGTATGCTAGGGAAAGGGTGGGAATATATGTTTGTGAAATGTCACAGTAGGCTGGAAATTACACCTATAAATGTTTGCCCTACCTTCTCAATTTTCTAAATGTGAATTGGTATTTCACCTAGGTTGCCAGGTTTATATATGCAGTTTTTCATATTATTCCATTATACTTTGGATCTGAGTCTCCAGTGACATCCTACATTTCACTCCTGCTACTGATAATCTGTCTTCTTTTTGTGAGTCTTGCTGGAGGTTTGCAATTTTATTAATCTTCTTGAAGAACCAACATTTTGTCTCATTCATTTTCTCTATGTTTTCTGTTATCAATTTCATTAATTTTTGCTCTTTATTATTTCCTTCCTTCTACTTGCTCTGGTTTTACTTTGCTCTTCTTTTTACAGATTCTTAAAGCGGGAGCTTAGATTGTCCATTTGAGACTGCTCCTGTTTTCTAATGTATGCATTTCATTCTATAAAATTCCCTCTGAAATTTAACTGCAGACTCAGAAAAAGAATAAGATATGGCCACAAGTTTGGAAATAAATAGCAGAAACTTTAAAGATGACCAAATGGGAAACACAACAATTTACCAAGAAAAGAAAATTACCCAAGGTAAAATACAGAAAATATTCAAACTCAGCTTAAACTCCTCAAAACAAAATGACTTAGACTGAATGACTTCAAGTAAATAACCATTTAGTCAGCCATGTAATAAGGAGGGAAAACCCTGCATGTGGAATATGGCCCACTCAATCTGCATTACAGATAATACAAGACAGGGAGCAGGCAATGCAGTGGGACACAGAAGAGTTAACAGAACCACATTTTTCCAGTTAGTAGTCTTAAATGAACTTCTTTACTACCCAACCAATTTCACGGATTCCTAAATGCTGCCTAACAGGAGCTGAGGCTGGGCATATGTGAAAGATAAATGTACAACTGTCATGAATTCATTTCTGTAGGTTGCCCCGCCCCATGGAGATATACTAATTTCTAATATATGGAAGAATAAAATATCTTCTTTCTTACCCTCTGAGCTTTTGCAAGTTCTTCTTTTAATCGTTCATAGCCCTTTTCTCTAACTTCCAAAACAGATGGGCTTCGTAAACGAGACAGACTATCAGTACTCAACCCAAAAATATCATCACTGCCATCGCAAGCCTCTGTTATAGTAGCACCCTGTAAAAATTCTCTCTCTGCATTATAGTTGTCCTTTCTTGTAGTTAATTTACTTAATCCAGCGGTGACTCCAGAGGTAGAACAAGGTGCTGGGTCTGTAACATGAAAGCTGTAAAGGAGAAAGACAATTTTCAGAAAATATCAGCATATGCTCCAATAGAACTGGCTTAAAACACAGCTCTAGAACTGTGCTACCCAATTTGGTAGCTTCCATATTTAAATAAACAGTATGTCCTCAGTCATAGCCACATTTCAAGTGCTCAGTAGCTACATGTGGTTAATATCTATCATTCATATTAGATACCACAAAAAATAGAACATTTTCATCAACAGAGAAAGTTCTACAGGACAGTGCTACTCAAGAGCAGGGGTTAACACATTATAGCCTGCAGGCGAAACCAAGCCTTCCACCTGTTTTTATAAGGCATCAATGAGCCAAGTACAGTTTTTACAATTTCAGATAGTTGAAAAGAAGTCTTTAAGAGTATTTTGCGAAAAATGAAAATTAAATGAAATTCAAAATTCTGCATCCATATATGAAGTTTTATTGGAACGCAGCCACTCTAATTCATTTACATACTGCCTATGGCTGCTTTCAAACTCTAAAGGCAGTATTGAATAGCTGCAACAGAGACTGTATGGCTAGCAAAGTCTAAAATACTATCTGGTCCTTCACATAAAAAGTTTGTCAACCCTGTTCTAGAACATTATCATGTATTTCTTTACATAGGCACACTTGAGTTATTCAAATTTTCTAAAAATAGTAAAACTTAAAATACAGTAACTAAGTAAACTGTCCATCAAAAAAAAAATCCAAAATAAGTGATTTACTTATTTCCTACCTGATACTAGATATTTCCGCACAATTTAAACGTCTGGGGGATGAATACACAGGTTGTGTAGGAAGTTCAGAAACATCTAATGCATTTGCCTGAATAGGTACAGAGGATAAAGCTGAAGGGTGTGGCCGGTAGATGACACTTGGTGAGGTAATCTGCTCTTGAGTTCCCGATTCATACACACCAAGAAGGTCCGGAGAAGTAGGTGAAGCAAGGTTTACTTCATGGAAGCCTTCCAAGGGATCATTAGCCATAGCAAAAGCCTCATCATAAGATAACCTATGTTAAAACAAAAATCAGATACTTAATTTTAAATAACATTTAAACTAAATTAAAATGTATAAATTATAAAATGTGTTTAACAGTCCATTGTAAATTACAAGCTTACAATAAAAGAGCCTTTTAAAAAACCACTATCACATAGTGGTATATGCCTGTAGTACCAGCTGCTCGGGAAGATGAGGTGGGAAGATTGCTTGAGCCCAAATGAGGCTGCAGTGAGCCGTGATCACAACCCTGCGCTCCAGCCTAGGTGACAGGGCAAGACCTTGTGTCCACTCAAAAAACAAAAACAAAAACAAACCACCACAATCACTTAACATTTACTAAGCGATCTCAGAGTATAACTACTATAAAAGGCAAACAATCTGATTTAGAAGAAACCTGACAGTGATAAGCAATTCTGTTAAAGTAAGAATAATCAATTAGTATGAGGAATGAATAAAAATTGGCTTAATTTTTAAAAATATTTTAAAATTATTAAATGTTTATATTAAAATAAATTCTCTCATTAGTATACTAAATATGAAAATACTAAAAACAAAATCTAACAGTATTATGCAATCTTAGATTAAATAACAATTATACTATGCTGTGAAACTCTTAAAACAATTTTTTTAACACAGAACATTGTATTTATCATGTACAACACGTTTGAAGGCACATACACATTGTGAAATGGCTAACTAGCTAATTAACAAATCATTACCTCATGCCATTATTTTGTGATGAAAACACTCAACATCTACTCTCTGCATTTTTCAAGTATTTACAATATATCATCAGGAACTACAGTCATCCCGCTGTACCACAGATCTCTTGAATATATATTTAACTTTGTGATTATACATGACCTTGGTTAGAGTAAGTAGAAAGGCAGTAAAAACACACACTCTCTCATACCTGTCACCCAAATTATGGAACTGTTAACATTTTTTAGCCATTTGAGAATATTCAGACATAATGCCCACTTAATATCTCAATGTATACATATACACTGTGTGTGTGTGTATCAGTGTATGTGTGTATCCTAAGTACAAGGACATTCTCCTATCTAACCACAAAATCATCATCAAAATCTGGAAGTTAACATTGATCAAAATTACCATCTAATCAACAGGCCCCATTCAAATTTCACTAATTGTTCCAACAATATCCTTTATATGTATAGGATCCAATGCTGGATAATGTGTTTCATTTCTATAAGCCTTAAACTTCTCCTCTGATGAGATTAGAATGGGGCTAACACTAGCCCCTCCCTTGTCCTGTTTGCCGTGAGGATTGAAGGAGACAATCCACGTAAAGTATTTTGTAGAGTACTATGTTCCTGACACACAGTATGGCCTCAATAAACATGAATTACCATAGCACAGGCACTAACAATACCACATATGCTTCAGGTTCTCCATAAGCAAAAAACAGTTCATGTAACTATTCAATTACATCACAAAGTTTACATGGAAACTAACAAGTGAACCACTCAAGTTTTTCCTCTGAAGACTTCAAAGCTAAATGGTATCTTACAAATTCTTTATTGATTTTCCACTGTCTGCTGGATAGAGACCAAACTTGTTAGCCAAAAAAATAAGGTCTTCTAGGATCTGAACCCAATCTCTCTTTCCAATTTTTTCTCCTTCCTATGACAGCACTTAGACAGCTGTGGATAATATCTTCCCGGAACTTAAAAAATGCCAAACAGGCCAGGCTTGGTGGCTCACACCTATAATCCCAGCACTTTGGGAGGTCGAGGTGGGCAGATTGAGGTCAGAAGTTCAAAACCAGCCTGGCCAACATGGCAAAACCCTGTCTCTACTAAAAATACAAAAATTAGCTGGGCATGGTGGCCCATGCCTATAATCCCAGCTACTCAGGAGGCTGAGGCAGGAGAATCATTTGAACCCCAGGAGGCGGAGGTGGCAGTGAGCTGAGACACCGTACTTCAGCCTGGGCGACTGACTAAGATTCTATCTTGAAAAAAAAAAAAAAAAAAAAAAAGCCAAACAAAATAACATAGCACATCATTTCTTCCAAAAGATAGAGAAGTATTTGTTTGTTAAACAAGCTGAAAAATTTGACTCTCAAATCCTTAATAAAAAGTGTTAAAAATAATACAAGTAGAGAATAAAAACAAAAAAGATTTCAGTAAAGTTGAAAGAGATCTAACTCAGTATCATTTCAAAATTACAAATTAGAGGGGCGGGGGGAGGGATAGCATTAGGAGATATACCTAATGTAAATGATAAGTTAATACGTGCAGCACACCAACATGGCACATGTATACATATGTAACAAACCTGCACGTTGTGCACATGTATCCTAGAACTTAAAGTATAATTAAAAAAGCCAACATTAAAAAAAAAAAAAATTAGTATCTGTCACAGACTTTCCAGCATATAGACAACCCAAAGTGCAACAATTAAATCTACAAATGACAAATTTCAAATCCAATAAGCTATTTATTAATAGCAAGTGCTTTATTCTTCAAAATGAAACTAGTCCTTGTTTTTTTCACATAAAATATTCACTATGCCAAATGAAAGATGAGATTAATAAGGAATGTAAGGTGTTTAATACTCCATTAAAATTTAGTTTTTTCACCCCAAAGAATTTTCATTTTTTATTCATAATCCATACACCTACATATACCAAGAAAACAGCTATATTCAAAGTACATAATTCATTTTCACTTGAATATAGTTCAGGCAAGTACACTAACCAATTCATTACCATAAAAAAACCTTTATATTAGGTTTGCATTCAACTTTGACATTTTAATCAGTAACTATTTATGATTCTTTCTTCTATCCCATGTACTATGAATTCACCTCTCTATATCAAGGTTCGCTGAATCATAAAATGTAAAAGCATTTGCATTTCTGGAAATACAAAACAGTACAAATCCTATGAAGGAAAATTTAGCAATAACTACAAAATGGTATTAAACCTGTGACCAAGCATGCCACTCCTGGGGCTTTATCCTAAAGATAAACTGGCAACATGAAAAGCAGCACTCTTTGTAATAACAAAACACTGATTTAATGAACCAGGGTACATCCTCATAATGAAGCACTGCACAGATGTAAAATACGTATCCATATATCGCTATGAAGTGACCTTGAAGATATACCAGTAAGTTAAAAAACAAGATAAAAAACAGTAAACTACCTTTTATCTAAAAAAGGAGAATAAAAATATAAATATATATACATATATACATATATATATATATAACTTTTTATAATGGAAAGGCTGGGTTCAGTGGCTCACACCTGTAATCCCAAAAACTTGACACACAGAGGCAGGAGGCCAGCTTGTGGCCAAGACTTAAAGACCAGCCTGGCCAACATAGTGAGACCTTGTCTTTATGAAAAGTTGTAAAATTAGCTGGGTGTGATGGTGCGGGCCTATAGTCCTAACCACTTGGAAGGTTAAGATGGGAGGATGGCTTGAGCTGAGGAATTTGAGGTTACAGTGAGCTTTGATCATACCACTGCACTCCAGCCTGGGTGAAAGAGCAAGACCCTGTCTCAAAAAAAAAAAAAAAAAGGAACCAAAGAAAAAAATGGGTATCTACAGAAGGAGAGAAGACACAGTGAAAAATATGAAAGCTGGACTTTTTTCTGAAAGTACCTTGCTTTACAGATTCGATTTTGAGCTTGCAACCATGTAAACAATAAAAATTAAAGTTTAAAAAAGAATCCCTAAACATAAAGCAAATAAACTTGTGTATTGAGATGGTAGCTTAACCACACAGAAATGAACTACTTCAAGTGATTTTAAAACACAACAATATAAGTATCTCTCCCTAATGGAATGTATTCTAAAAGCAAAAGGAAGTGAAAAAAGTCATAAACTATTTTCAATGTTAATAATAGTAGCAATATTGATACTGTTATTCTGAAACTTTGTATAAGATGAAGCAAATAAGTTATGCTACTGTCATTTGGAACTAAGATTTTCAGCATATTAGAAAAAATACAACTATAAAATCAAAGAATTTAAATCCTAGAGGCCTAAATTTGACTCAAAAACACCAGAAAAAAAATTCTAACTTTATCCAATGAAAAGACATAGCAACACTGACCAATTCAGGAGCAGTTAAGCACCCATGTGCTCAGAGTAATACCACGTCCTCCAAAAAAGAACACAGGCTCCCTGGAAAAATGGCTGATTCCAGCCTGGGACAGAAACGGACGAAAGGACCCTGGAACATCTTGTTATACCAGAAAGCAAGTACACTATCAAAAACTACTGGACTGATATCAAAAGGACTCCCACTAACCAAAAACGGGACAATCTGAACATCAAAAAGGATAATATCTGCAAAGAACTGACAGGCAAATATTTTTAAATCCATGAGGTCATAATGACACTAAAAATAAAGCAAAGTACCTCACTGGCCTTCTTTGATCAATGCTATGGAACCAATTCATTATTTTCAAAACTGGTAAATAAAATGAAATGAAGCATTTTATCTGGCTTTCCTCTACATCAAGGAACTGAACAGCTCATGAAAAAAAGTTCTTTTTAGCTGAATTCCATTTAATAAATATAACTTTGGAATCCTAATGAAATAATGGATTTAGGGCAGTAATTATTTAAATAGCTATTAAAACCGTAAGGTAAAAGGTTGTTTGAGGAACTTTATAGTTAATCAATTAGAACGACAGTACCTGAACTCACTGATCACATCTTGTCACAAAAAGGGAGACAATCAAACATTATGTATATTATGTGGCAAATAAGAAATGATCATCACTGCCATTAATGAAGCATTCTGGCCCCCTAAGAAAAAAAAAGAACCCAAACCAAACAAGCCTCTTGATGGTCATCAGTTTATAGTAAATACAGAGGAGAAAGGAACATGTTAAGTAACACCACAGGGACAAAAACAGCAAAATCTAGACTTTGGGAAACTCTCATCATAAACAAACCAGTTGGTTTTTCCAATAAACTGTAAAAAAAAAAAAAAAAAAAAAAAAAAAGTAGAGGAAATTTAT